TGATGTAAGGGGCACTCTGATGGGGGCAATTGATATAAGGGGGCACTCTAATGGGGCAATTGATGTAATGGGGCTCTGATGGAAACAATTGATGTAGGGGGCATTCTCATGAGAACACCTGATTTAAGTGGGCACTCTGATGGGGACACCAGATGTAAAAAGGGACTCTGATGGGGATCCCAGATGTAAGGGGGGACTTTGATAGGAATAATTGATATAAGGAGGTACAGGTTCTGTTTAATGATCCTAATCTAGTGACAGCCTAATACATACTAGCATTCCCTGTTCACTCTTGCACTGCCTCTGCATTACTTGTCTGACATTATTTCTGGGTTGTGACTTGTGGTACAGAAGCATGCTAAGTGAATGGGAAATACTGGTTTCCTGCATCTCTGTCACGCTGTTGACAGTATGTCCCTGGCTTTTTTATACTTCACCCCCAGCTCAGATAGATCTGGCCCTACCTACTCGTATCTCCACCTGCAAGGAGGAACAATGTCTGCAGGTTTGCATAATACTTTTTTTGTCAGTGTAGTCTAATTGCATATATAAAATTTCACTGAGTGGTCCTTCTTCTGACTGAAAGTTGGTAACACCTAGAGGTGCCTATACATACTTGCAGTAGCTTTCATTCACCTGCTCCACCCACATACTTAGCCTCTCTGATCAGGCAAACTTAAATAAAATAAAAGTAAAAAACTGTAGCTGCTGACTTTTTAAAAACAGATGCTCACCTGACCCTCAATCCAGCAATGTCTTCACCACAGCCAGTATCACCAGCCGTCCTCTCTCCTGGGCACCAGCATCTTAGGTTTGGGCACCCTGCTGTGATAGCTTGTGGCTTCACAGCCGGCTACATGAGTAGCAATGCACCTTGTGAATGGTCCCAGTCACATGTCCAACTTCCGCTTCCGATTGCCTAGGTGATCGCAGCGGAAGTGAGAGCGGGTACCTGTCAAATTTGAGTACCCCCTCCCCCCATGCTCCCCAAAGGTGCCAATCCTTTTTGGGGAACGGGGAACGAAGCGGGACTTCCCCTTTTGGGTGGAGCTCCACTTTAAGTAATTCCTGCTAGTGTTAGAACTTACTTGTTCCCAGCTACCCCATACATTCTGATAGTCCCAGAACTATAACGGCCTGCCTAACTGGTTATAAAGAATGAAAAGAATGTGTAGGGCACAGGAGCAGACGAGTTTCCCTTGCAAAGTGAACTTCTTATTTACCTTTAGTAAATTAACCCCCAAGCATAATATCTCCAGATCAACAGCTGTATATACAAAATTTGGAAGAAGCCTATTACCACAGTAAGCTAAAAGCAGGAATAATGTATCTGCAAGAAGTGTGCCACATGAAAGAATGTTTGTTGCCCACACAAATACATAGATTTACTGTACATGTATGATTCTGGGAAAGGAATCTATTCATTCGTTAGTCCATCTCATTTTTGGCACATAGATTCCCTTCAATTTTAAAATATTTAAACAGAGGAGAGAAAAAGGTGCCTCTAAGTGTAGACTTAGCAGCAGAGGACACGGCAAATAGCAGTGAAGACCTTTACCATCTCGCCTGAGACTAACACTCAGAACCTGTTGTTCTTTTATGAATGTGAGTTGACATTTTACCTTTATTGTAATTAAACTTTTATCCACACTTAGATGCACCTTATCTCTCTTCTGTTTACATGCAATATCTGGAGACTGCTTCCACTCCAATCAGAGGCTTGCCCTAGGTGCTACAGATGCTCACTACATTCTGGTGACCTCCCTTTTCCAAAGGACTTTGTTTATATGGGGCAGCACAGTAGCTTAATGGTTAGCACTTCTGCCTGGCAGTACTACAGTCCCAACCACAGCACCACCTGCCTGGAGTTTGCATGTTCTCCCTGTGCTTGCGTGGGTTTCCTTCCAGGTACTCGGGTTTCCTCCTACACTCTAAATACATGCTGGTAGGTTAATTGTCTCCTGCCTAAATTGGCCCTAATATGTGTATGTATGAATGTGAGTTAGGAACCTTAGATTATACACCCCTTGAGGGTTAGGGACTGATGAGAATGTACAATATATGTATGTAAAGCGCTGCATAAATTGACGGCGCTATATAAGTACCTGAAATAAATAAATATGGACTTTTATTAGGAGTCATACCTTATTCTAACTCTTCTTTTAAATCTTAAAACATATCTGTTGGGCATACCTCTTGCCAAATTTTTACAAACTAGTGAAAAGACTCCTATCACATATATATTCACTAAAATATTGGCACCCCTGCATTTCTGTCAGATAATGCACCACTTCACCCAGAAAATGGTTGGAATTACAAATGTTTAGGCATTCTCTTGTTTATTTCTTTTGTTTGTATTGATATAACATAAAAAAAGTGGAGAAACAAAAGGCCAAATCTGGAACAATCAACGCAAAAAAACAAAAATGCTCTAGACAAAATTATTGGCACCCTCAATTTAAAATTTAGTAGCACACCCCTTGGAAAGAATAACTGAAATCAATTGCTTCCTGTAACCATCAATGAGTTTCTTACACCTCTCTACTGGAATTTCAGACCGGTCTTCTTTTACCAACTGCTCCAGGTCTCTCAGATTAAGGCTTCCTTTTCCCAACTGCTGTTTTGAGATCTCTCCACAGATGCTCTAGGGATTGAGGTCTGGACTCATTGCTGGCCAGTTCAGTATCTCAAGCGCTTTGTCTTAAACCATTTCTGGGTAATTTTTGATGTGTGCTTTGGGTCATTGTCCTGCTATAAGACCCATGACCTCTGACAGAAACCCAACTTTCTGACACTGGGCCCTACATCACTGGGCCCTACATTGCACCCCAGAATTCTTTGGTAGTCTTTAGATTTCATAATGTGATGCACAAAGTCAAGACATCCAGTCCCTGAAGCAACAAAGCAACCCCAAAACATTAGTGAACCTCCACCATGTTTGACTGTAGAGACTATGTTCTCTTCTTTAAAGGCCTCATTTGTTTTTCTGAAAACAGTAGAATGATGGGCTTTAGCAAAAAGCTGTATTTTTATTTGTCTGTCCACAGCACATTCTCCCCAAAAGGAATTTGACTTTCTCAGGTAAGTTTTGGCAAACTCCAATTTGGATTTTTTATGTTTCTGTGTCAGCAGTGGGGTTCTCCTGGGTCTCCTACCATAGCATCCCTCTTCATTCTGATGGCAATGAATAGTGCGTGCTGACACATTTGTATCCTGTGCCTGAAGATCAGCTTGAAGTTGCCTTGAAGTTGATCAAGGTTCTTTAGCCACCATTCAAACAATCCATCATTGCAAACTTTGATCAAGTTTTTCTCTTTCATCCATGTCCAGGGAGATTAGTCAGAGTGTCATAAGCTGTAAACTTCTTGACAATGTTTTGCATAGTGGACACAGGAACATTAAAATCTCTGGAGATGGACCTCCCTGCAGCTGGACTCACTGGCCATCCTGTGTTCCAGGCACCAGCATCTTCATCTTCAGTGGGCATGCACGAGTAGCGTTGTGCTTTCTGAATGGTCCCGTAGTCTTCTGGGACCTGTCACGTGTCCCAAAAGACTATGGGAGGACAACTTCTACTTCCAATCGCCTAGGCAGTCACAGAGGAAGTGGGAGTGGGTACCTGTCAATTTCAGGTACTTGCTCCTCAAAGGTGCCAATCCTTAACTTCCCCCTTTTGGGTGGAGATCTGCTTTAACTGATAGAAATGCAAGGGTGCCAATATTTTTGGTCATGATTGTATGCTTGATAGTCCTTACATGGAAAACAATAGAACAGCCTTCTCTAACAGAACTATATGCTAGAATTAGAGATGGTATAGTTATGCAGAACCTTATTGTATTCCTTCATAAGACCCTTGCACATCTAACCATGTCTCAGAGCTGTAGCATCCTCAGGCAGACCATCATGAGTGATACTGTCTCTCTGTTCTCCTAACACCCAGAGACTTCTTTTGTGAACCCAGTGAACAAACCTAGATGGAGCAGCCCCCCCCCCCTCACTATTTGTACTTCCTGATTCCAATCCTCTCTATATCCCTCTTCCTTTTTTTCCTTTTCTCCTATTCTCCTTTACTCAGTGATATTCTCACAGTAATGATAGGTTGAGAGCTCCATAATTGAATTAGCTTTAGGACTAGTTACTTTGAGGCTACCATTCTTCTGGTTAGTCCTGATGTAGAAACGTATTCAATATTATAGGTCTAGGGCTGTAAGAGGTATATGTTAGCAGGAATCTGGACTTCATACATGAAATATTGCACATAGAAAAGTTTCTGCTGAGTATGGACTATATCACACATTCAAGACATTTACGCGTCTTGTTTTGTTTCTTGGCAGATTTATTCTTTATGCCTTGAAGGTGTCATTCTGTATAACAATGTGTTACAAACACTGTATACTGTGAAGGATCGCTTACTTTTTTTCCTCCCTCAATATTACTGTACTTTGTTAACATTCAATAAAAGCTAAATATAGGAGGAAAAAAAAATGTTTCTGGGAAAGGGGGGGATTGCTCATTATTGTCTGAGACCCAGACTAGGTGTTGATACCGTAGACCCAAAAAAAAAATGCTGTTAAACCTCTTTAAGAAGTGTTTTTATTTTTCATTTATGATACTTCTTAACCACTTGCCTACAGAGCACTTATACCCCCTTCCTGCCCAGGCCAGTTTTCAGCGCTGTCACACTTTGAATGACAATTGCGCGGTTATGTAACACTGTACCCATATGACATTTTTATCATTTTTTTGAGACAGATAGAGCTTTCTTTTGGTGGTATTTAATCATCTCTGGGTTTTTATTTTTTCTGAAACAAACCAAGAACAACTGAAAATTTTGAAAAAAAAATTTTTTTTCTTAGTATTTGTTATACAATTTTGTAAATAAGTGATTTTTCTCCTTCACTGATGTGCGCTAAGGAGGCTGCAGTGATGGGCACTGATAGGCTGCACTGATGGGCACTGATAGGTGGCACTGATGGGCACTGATGAGGAGGCACTAGTAGGTGCACTGATGGGCACTGAAAGACAGAACTCATATATGGCACTGATAGGTGGCACTGATAGTTGGCACTGATAGGCAACTCTGACTGGCACTGATAGGCGACTCTGACTGGCACTGATAGGTGGCACTGATTGGCAGCACTGATAGGTGACACTGACTGGCATTGGTAGGTGGCACTGACTGGCACTGATAGGTGACTCTGAAAGGCAGCTCAGATGGGCACTGATATGTGGCATTGATGTGCACTGGTAGGCACTGATATGTGGCATTGATGTGGCACTGATGGGCACTGGCAGGTGGCATTGATGAGCACTGACAGCTGGCATTGATGGGCACTGAAGTCGCATTGCTGGGGCTACACTGATCATCAGGGGACACTGATCATCAGTTCCCTGATGACCAGTGTACATGTCCCCTCCGAGGAATGCCGATTACCGGCTCTCCTCACGAGCTGTCAGCGTGACAGCTCGTGAGGAGAGAAATGCTGATAACCGGCATTTCCCTGTTTACATGCAGTCAGCTGTGGTTGGACACAGCTGATCACATGACCGAGCCGACATCTTCAGCTCTTTCCGTTGATTGGTGACCACTGAACGCCGCGCTGGCCGCTCCGGGAGCCATTCATGCACGGTTAGAGTGGGAGGACGTCATATGACATCCTCCCAGAATGAGAGAACGCCTTGTGCCTGTCATTGCCTTATATGGTGGGCGGGAGGCGGTTTAAAAAAAAACGACTGTATTACTGGCCAGAGAAATTAAAGTGGTTCTAAGAGTTTTTTTTATCTTCATGTATTCTATGCATGAAGGTAAAACATCTTCTGTGTGCAGTGGTCCCCCCCCCCCCCCACACACACACACACACAATTCTCACCTGAGCCCCATCTGATCCAGCGATTTTCTTGGCAGCCTTTTCTGTCTGGGGACTCTTCCTTCTCATTGGCTGAGACAGAAATGGGAACCCATTGGCTCCTGCTGTTGTCAATCACAGCCAGTAAGCCAATGAGGAGAGGATGGGGGGGCAAGCTGAGGCTCTATGTCTCTTATGGACACATAGAGCAGATGCTCGGGGATGAGCATGCAGAAGTGCCCCCAGGTTGAGCAGATTTCCCTGAGGAGTGCTGGAAGGGACCCAAATAGAAGTGTATTGGGGGCTGCTCTGTAAAATCACTGCACAGAGCAGGTAAGTATATGCTTGTTATACAAAAAAAAAAAAAGAAGAAGCTTTAGTGTAACTTTAAAGTCACTAAATGACAGAGTTTTAGCTATGTGGAGGAACCAGGGAACTCTGAGAGGTTTGGATATTCTGATAAAGGCTATTTTAAAGAGGAATCATGATGTAAGCATATTCAATAAAGTATTTTAAATTGTATATGCGGGTTTACGCTATGATTTATTCTATATATGGTGGGCATCAGAGGATTGGTGGAGATTCATGGTTATACTTGAAAGCTGCTATATCTGAATGATATCTTGATCTGATCCATGAGGCTGTGATGATCCTTTGGTTGAAGCAGAATTTGTGATAATACCCTCGCTGGGAGGTGTAAAGGCATATTATTTAAATTTTTTTGGTAAAGGTATTCACTCCTTACGCTATAGAAGTGTACACAGTGTTTCACATGTTGTTTTTGGATGCATATTTTTCACTGGATTGATTCACTGGCACTATTTTGACAATTTCACTTTTTTCACTATTTGTGATCACGCATGGTTGTTTGCGTTTATTACATCTGTTTCATTTATATTTTATTTAAGATAATGCACTATGTGATTTTTCTTTTTATGTTGAGGTTTCTTTGAGCCATTGAAAGGCTGAATATGAAGATTGATGATTGAAGTTGGCACAGAGTGACTTTTTATAACATTATTTATTTAATTTTATTTCTTATCTATTTTTGGACTGTTACATTTTGATTTTTTTTTCTTTTAATATATTTGTGTGATATATACTTTTGGGAATATTGGTATTATCATATTTATATTCACAGTTTTTACACTTTTGGGGAAAAGTGTATCTTTATGCTATTTATAGCCTTATTGTACTGAATTATTCAAGGGATACCGTAAAATTCACATACCGGTATATTAAAATGACATAGTTTGTTTGCTCTAATTTTTTATTTTTTTTTTTTTCAGAATCATTGGAAATAATGAATAACTACTTCAAACTGCTACAGAGGTTTGAGCTTAAAAGACAATTATTTTTAGAGGAAAAATTATCTTACAGCAGGCAGTTGAAAAGCCTTCATAATTAGTGCTGCTGTTGTCTGGGCTTGAAAAATTCGCTCTCAAACCTGTCACACAACTTTGTACATGGAGAACCTTGTATTGTATTGTGTCTTCAAGAAAAAAAAAACCTTTCCAGATGTTCTTCCTATGTATAATCAACTCAGCTTTGAAAGGTTTCAGTTTATATGTTTACAATGGTTTAAAAAGTTGGTTGCCTGCAAATTTGGGCAAAGGCAATTAAATATGGGGGGACCCTCATTTCCTGACATGAAACACAGAAAGGTGGATTTTCCCCTTCTTCTGCTAATGAAGAAAACTGAAACAAGTAAAGGGCTTGTAAAGCTGAACAATAGACTATATTAAACTGTTTCTTTGTAGATAACTGAAATATATTATTTGAACAGTTAAATGCTGTGGGAAAGCTTCATTACAACCAAGTTTACAAGTGTTTATTTCCGGTCTACGCACTAGGGCACAAAAATGAAACAAGAAGTCCACAGTGAGTAAAATGTGTTTTATATATCTGCATATTATTCCATTTATATCTTATTTCTAAACCCTATATAATAAATGATTGTAATGAGGTGTGACACAATCTTGTGATACTTTATTGTATAAAGATATAGATTTACTAATTGTTGCTAAAATGTCAATATAAGGTACAAGCATTAGCTCTAGCTACATAAACACCACTGTACCTTTACAGACACCTTCTGAGAACACGTTTTGTGTGCACACAGGTTCTTGGGTTCCCTCAGGATCGCACAGCTTGAACAGTATAGCCATACTCAACAGGGGCAAAATAAAGTTAGCCAGCAAACTGGCAATTCAGAGTCTGGTTGGATTATAATACAAAGTCAGAAAATTGATGTAGAGTAGATAGCAAATTAGCAGGATTCAAAAAGAATATGGTGGAGATACATTGCTCCTAGATTGTAAGCTCCAAGGAGCAGGGCCCTCCTATCCCTCTTGTATTGAACTGTATTGTTGCTGTATTGTCTCCCTTTATATCGTAAAGCACTGAGCAAACTGTTGGCGCTATATAAATACTGTATAAGAATAATAATAATAATTGCCAAGGGATTTAACGGAAGTGTAATTGGCAGTATAGCTAAAAGGTTTTTGCCAGGCTAGACCCAGGTATCAAAATCAGAGTGAGTAGTAAAAAACGTAGTAATTTAAGGGAAAGTCATTGCAGAGGGAGTATACATGAAGTAAAGACAAGCAAGGTAGGCAGCTAAGGGTAGTCTGAGAAACAGACAAAAGTCACATCCACAAGCTCCAACAAACTCCTAAGCTGATTACACATGTTACCATCTGATTTTACTATCTCCATTAAATCTACCAACCACTTTGCAGTGCAGGAGACTGCTTGACTGAATAAAAAGGATATGTATTGTTTAGATATGACCTTATAGACCATAATATTGGCAATGCAGACTGTACAAATATCATACAGACAGTAATATGTATGGCCAGCTTAATATTAAAATAGTATGTGCCATCAAGTAGATGTTGTCTCCTGTTGATCACATGCATAGTATTTACTCCAGAATGATTTCCACAATGGTATGTTCATACATTTCTGTGACTGTATTCATCCATCTTATTGCTGGCCATCTTCTTTTCAACTTTTCCAAGCATACCTGTCTTCTTACATGTTTACCTCTTGGGTCTGTTTTGTTGACTGCTATGCATATGCTTCCATGCTACGTATTGTCTCTAAATGTTGATTTCTCTACCCTGTACTGTGGTCAAAATAAATAAAGAATTTATATGAAAAAAAAATATAAAACTTCTGTATTGGATGACCCTACCATAGCAGAAACTCCAGGCAGCATACCTCTTAGCTTCCTTAATGCATGCAACCTCCACCCCCCATGTGTATAGCATACATGAGGACATAGAAGGAAGGCTTATACATGTGTGTAAACACAGAAGAGGAATCTGCAATATGAGATGACCAAGTAGGTCCATGCAAAGCCTTGCAAGACCCAAAGAGAAAACTGGCAATAAAAGCATAGGAAGCAAGCATAGAAAAAAAAGAAGAAGGAAAACCAGTAGATGAATGAGCCAAAGAGTACCGATGCACCATCAACTGTTACACCCCATGATTGCACTTCACTCATCACTGATTGCCCAAATAAAACTATTGATGTACACCACGTTCCAAATTATTATGCAAATTCTATTTAAGTGTCACAAAGATTAAATATTTTGTTTTTCAGTTTAACTCATGGATGGCATTGTGTGTCAGGGCTCTTTTAATCACTGAAAACAATCTCGGACACCTGTGATAATTAGATTGGCCGGTGAGCCAAAATTTAAGGAAAAACTACTAAAGGAGGGTGTTCCACATTATTAAGCAGAGCGCCATTTTAAAGTAATATGGGGAAGAAAAAGGATCTCTCTTCTGCCGAAAAGAGTGAAATAGTTCAATGCCTTGGACGAGGTATGAAAACATTGGATATTTCACGAAAACTTAAGCGTGATCATCGCACTATTAAGAGATTTGTGACTGATTCCGAGCACAGATGGGTTCGTGCAGATAAAGGCACATTGAGGAAGATTTGTGCCAGATCCATGCATCAGATCAAGAGAGCAGCTGCTAAAATACCATTACATAGCAGCAAACAGATATTTGAAGCTGCTGGTGCCCCTGGAGTCCCACGGACATCAAGGTGTAGATTCCTCCAGAGTCTTGCAGCTGTGCATAAACCTTCTATTCGGCCACCAATAACCAATGCTCACAAGCAGAAACAACTGCATTGGGCAGAAAAATACATGAAGACTAATTTTCAAACAGTCCTGTTCACTGATGAGTGCCGTGCAACCCTGGATGGTCCAGATGGATGGAGTAGTGGATGGTTGGTGGACAGCCACCCTGTTCCAACAAGGCTGCAATGTCAGCAATGCTGTGGTGGAGTCATGTTTTGGGCTGGAATCATGGGAACAGAGCTGGTCGGCCCCTTTAGAGCCCCCAAAGGTGTAAAGATGACCTCTGCAAAGTATGTGGAGTTTATGACTGACCACTTTCTTCCCTGGTACAGAAGGAAGAACTATGCTTTCCATAATAAAATCATCTTCATGCATGACAATACACCAT